AAAAAAAAAAAAAAAAAAAAAAAAAAAAAAACGAAATATCATAATATGCTCATTAGAATGCTCGTAACAAAAAAGACTGACAACACCAAACATTGGCAAGAATGTGGAACAACCAAAATTCTACTGATTAATTGCTGGTGGAGTATAAAATAGTAAAATCACTTTGGAAAACTCTTTCAAATTCCCAGAAAGTTAAACATACATCTATTCTACGGCCCAACAATTCTACTCCTAGTATTTATCCAAGAGAATAAAAACATGCTCCCAGCCTTATAACACCAAGGTCACGGGTTCGGATCCCCATACCAACCAGCCACAAAAAAAAACCCCAAAACCAACAAAAATGCCCCCCAAAAGACACAAATGTTTATTGCAGCATGGCTCATAATAGCTAAAAACTGGAAGCAACCCAAATGTTCATCAACAGGAAACTGGATAAACAGAATACCACCCAGCAATAAAAAGAAATGAATTCTTGCCATATACAACAAGGAGGAATCTCAAAAACCTTATGCTGATGACAGGATATAAGATCACTAAACAAAAACCAATCATATTTCCATATACTAGCAACAAATAACCCTAAAATGAAATTAAGAAAAAAATCCCATTCATAATGGCAGCAAAAGGAATAAAATACCTAGGAACAAATTTAACAAAATAGTGCAAGACTTACACTGAAAGCTATAAAACACTATCAAAAGATATTAAAGATCTACATAAATGGAAAGACATTCCACATTCATGTATCAGAAGATTGCGCATTGTCAAAATATAAATATTCCCCCAGATTGACCTACCAATTCAACACAGTCACTACCAAAATCCCAGATGGTATTTTTTCAGAAATTGGTAAACCGATTCTACAACTCATATGAGAAAAACTGAAAGACCCTGAATAGCCAAAATGAACTTTAAAAAAGAACAAATTGCAGAACTCACACTTCCCATTTTCAAAACCTACTACAAAACTATAGTAATCAAGACAATGTGGTACTGGCATTCAGGACAGACATATAAGTCAGTTGAATAGACTTAGGAGTCCAGAAATCAACCTTCACATTTATGGTCAATTAATTGTTGACAAGAATGCCAGGACAATTCAATGAGGAAAGAATCATCTTTTCAACAAGTGGCATTGGGACAACTGGATATCAACATATGAAAGAATGAATATGAAACTCTAACTCACACCATACACAGACATTAACTCAAAATGGATCATAGACCTAAACATAAGAGCTTAACCCATGAAACTCTTAGAAAAAAAAAAAATACAAGTAAATTTTCATGATCTTGGGTTAGACAATAGTTTTTTACTATGATATCAAAAGCATAAGCGACAAAAGAAAAAAATAGATAAACTAAACTTGATCAGAATTAACACTTCTGTGCATCAAAAGATACCTTCAAGAAAATGAGAAAAAAACCCACAGAATGGGAAAAAAAAATGGGAAATCATTATCTAACAAGGGACTTTTATCCAGTATACATAGAGAATACTTACAAGTCAACAATAAAAAGACAAGTAACCCTATTAAAAAATAAGCAAAGCATTTAAATAGACATTTCTCCAAAGAAGATATATAAGTAGCCAATAAGCACAAG